TTGGGTGTCCCCGGGGTTCCTTCCCAGCCACAGCGATTCTATGAGGAGGGAAGGCTGGGGAGGGACCCTGCTCCACACCAGCAGTGGTGCTCCCAGAGCAAGTGAACTTTGCTGCACTGTGCTCACAGCAGGTTGGACCTCAGGAGGCTGAGATGCATGTTTTTGGTGCTTGGCTAGATCTCATCCTGCCTCTCTGGAGGCAAAAAGTCTAGTATTTGTAGCTTGGATGGCTATTAAGGGAACTGCAAATATTTGTTTTACAAACGCTTTGCTGTATTGGGTTTGTGTGGCAAGGTTTTGGTAGTAGGGAGGCTACAGGGATGGCTTCTGTCAGAAGCTGCTAGAAGCTTCCCCTGTGTCCAGTAGAGCCAATGCCAGCTGGCTGCAAGGCAGACCTGCTGCTGGCCAAGGCCGAGCCCACCAGTGATGGTGGTAGTGCCTCTGGGATAACTTATTTAAGAGGAAAAACCTGCTGCACAGCTGGGCAACTGTAGCTGGAGACAGGAGTTAAGAATATGTGAAGGTCAGTAAAGGAGGGGAAGGACATGCTCCAGATGCCAGAGCAGAGTCTCCTGCAGCCTGTAGTGAAGACCATGGTGAGACAGGCTGGTCCCCTGCAGCCCATGGAGGGTAACTGTGAAACAGATATCCACCTGCAGTCCATGGAGGGTCCCACACTGGAGCAGGTGGATGCCTGAAGGAGGCGGTGACCCTGTGAAGAGCCCATGCTGCAGCAAGTTCCTGGCAGGACCTGTGGACTCGGTGAGAGAGAGAGGAGTCCACCCTGGAGCAGCCTGGCTGCCAGGACTTGTGACCTTGTGGAGGACCTGTGCTGGAGCAGTTCATTAAGAACAGAAGCCTGTGGGAAGGACTCACCTTGAAGAAGTTCATGGAGGACTGTTTCCTGTCGGTGGGACCCCATGCTGGAACAGAAGAGTATGAGGAGCCCTTCCCCTGAGGAGGAAAGGGCAGCAGAAACATGGGATGAACTGACCAAAAACCCCCACTCCCTGGCCCCCTGTGCCACTGGGAGGGAGGAGGCAGAGAATTCAGGACTAAAGTTAAGCTTGAAAAAAGAGAGGGGTGTGGAGATGTTTTTAAGATTTGGGTTTATTTCTCATTATCCTACTCTGATTTGATTGGTAACAAACTAGTTTCCCCAAGTCAAGTCTGTTCGCCTGTGATGGTAATTGATGAGTGATGTCCTTTATCTTGACTCATGAGCCTTTCATTGCCTTTTCTCTGCCCTGTCCAGCTGAGGAGGTGATAGAGCAGCTCTGGTGGGCACCTGGCCAGGGTCAATCCTTCACAACTGTGCATGTTAACTATAGAGGCAGAATGCTTCCAGGAGGCAGGGTGGCCTCAGCTCTTGGTGAGCTCCAGAGCACAGCCAGCAGTTGGCCCACATGGCCTTACTCTGTAGCCCACACTTTTGTGAGACTTCAGGGTTGTTTTTCTCTCTGCATGCTACACGGCAATTTGTGACCTGTGACATCCAAGCTGGCACCTTTAGCAAGTGCATGAGTTTGTGATTGCTGTGACCAAACACGGGTTGTTTACTGCACCCACCCAGCCTCCTAAGGTTTGCCAGCCTAAACTAGACCCTAAAGACAAAGCTGAGGCACCTGGGAACGGCCAGTGCAGTTGGTAGGGAGCTGTCATGTTTTATAGACCACCGAGGTGCCCGATAGAAAACCTGCCCGAACAGTGCTGGCCTCAAAGCTACTTTCTCTACCAACGAGCCCTGGAGGAGTGACACCACCACGTGCTCGCTGTTGAGCCACCTTCCTGACACTTCCTATTTGCACAGCTGGAGCAGTGACCAGGGCGCCAGTGCTGTAACTTCAGGCTCTTCCCTCCTGCAGGGCCCGGCAGCTACAGCGTGGGCACCATGTCGGAGCGCTTCGACTGCCACTACTGCCGCGACCCGCTGCAGGGCAAGAAGTACGTGCAGAAGGAGGGCCGGCACTGCTGCGTCAAGTGCTTCGACAAGATCTGCGCCAACACCTGCATCGAGTGCAAGAAGCCCATTGGAGCGGACTCCAAGGTGAGTGCTCAGCAGTTAAATGGGTGATGAGGAGAAGGCAAGCGGGTGCTGATAACCCTTCTGTTTGTTTTCCTGGTTCTGGTCTGTTTGGGAGCTGTTGTGTGAAAACAAGCGTTCTCGTGCGTCCTGCGGCTGATGGGCCACGTGCTCCTCCGGCAAAGAGCCGGGGGCTCCGGGGCACTGCAGCAGGGAGGCTCACCAGGGGCTGCTTTTCCACAGGAGCTTGTTTCAGGATCTAGATTCAGCCACAGGAACTGCTGCAAATGCTGGACTGTCCTGATGAGAGTACTGCACAGGACCTGCAGAAAACTCAAATTCTGGGCAAAGCACCCGGGAACCTATCATCACATTTTTTTGTCAGTTTGTCAAACGTTCATTACTTCATGTTTATAGCAACAATAACGTACAGAACCTGACCACCAGCCAAGCCCACTCTTAGAGACCTTCAAATCTCAAATTTGGTGTTTTAAAACATCTGCTCCCTGAAGCTCCGCAATGAATGGGATTATGTCAGTTGCATTCAGGAATGTGATAATGTCCTTCCCTGCACCTCCAACCACTGAATGCCAACGTGGTTACCACTAAAGGATAGGTCCTTTACTGCCAAGGCTGATAACTTGGTTTTAGGGCTGCTCAGCAAGAGAGAAGGGCTCATTGCTCACTCCATTTCTGTTCATTCCAGGAGCTGCATTTCAAGAACCGTTACTGGCATGACAGCTGCTTCCGCTGCTTCAAGTGCTACACGTCCTTGGTCAATGAGCCCTTCATGCTAAGGGAGAACAACAAGGTTTGGTGCAGCAACTGCACTGCTGCCGAGGACGCACCCAGGTGTAAGGGCTGCTTCAAGCCCATTATCGCAGGTACTGGTGCCAGTAACACGGGTACGACTGCACAATGCTGCTCTAGGGCAAAGCCCTGGTGGTTTATCAAGCTGAGAAGCTGCAGTTAGGGGTATGGGCAGCATAATGCTGGAGCGCCACAAAATGGGGCTGACCTTGCCCTCACCTGTCCATTTTAGTCAAATGCTGATAGACTGCTCTGCAGTTAACCCTCACGGGCAGATCACCTTAGCAGTTAGTCACCATTTCTACCAAAAGCATTGCTCTGCAAGTCAAGCTTCTATTCTTATACAGGCTCAGGCACCTATAACAAATATTTTAAGAAAATCCAGAAAGCGGTAGCTAAAGTGAGATACAGGAATTAACAGCCCCTTGGGCATAGGTATGGACAGGTCTTGCCTTACATTGCACAGGGTGAGGAGTTTGTCACAAGCCTGGAATACCACGTAACAAGTTATCTCTGTCTGTTGTAGGAGACCAAAATGTTGAGTATAAGAAGATGGTCTGGCACAAGGACTGTTTCACTTGCAGCCAGTGCAAGCAAGTGATTGGATCCGGGAGCTTCTTCCCCAAGGGTGATGACTTCTACTGTGTTTCCTGCCATGAGCATAAGTTTGCCAAGACCTGTGCTAAATGCAAGAACGTAAGTCCTTCCACTTTGAAACGGCAGCTACCAGAACTAGCCCTCGTGTGTCCTTTGGAAGATAGGAGCGTACACCAGCAGACAGATCAGGCTGAATCTGTACCAATACATACGTTCTTTCCTTGAGATACTGCTGCCAGCAGCTGGTGGTATCAGAGTGTGAGAGCTCCTGGTTCTTGCACATCACAGTATCTGAGCAGGGGCTGTAGTTATCTGATGGAAACTCTGCTGAAACCAACTGTGTGCTGGCACAAAAAACCTTCAAGATATCATCTCCAGGCCCTCCTACCCTACATCACTCCTCTTCCTCTCTACCAGTTCTAAACCACATCTCTGCTCTTTGCCTTGTAGCCCATCACTTCTGGAGGCCTCACGTACCAGGAACAGCCGTGGCATTCAGAGTGTTTCATTTGTTCTAACTGCAAGAAGCAACTGGGTGGGAAGCGCTTCACAGCTGTAGAAGATCAGTTTTACTGTGTTGACTGCTACAAGGAGTGTGTTGCCAAGAAGTGTGCTGGCTGCAAGAATCCCATTACAGGTATGTTAGATTAAATGCAGCTTGAGGGCAGTGGGTGCTTGGTCAGAACAGCAATCCCCAAAGACATGCAGCTCAGAGGCTGCTCACACCAGGAGCAGGTCTAGTATCCCAAGCCCAAACCCAGCAATTTACACGTGACCTAAATATAAGCCACATACTCTTGCTGAATGGAGTCTGAGTTAGCAACTGAGCTCTTCACCCTTTGCACATCTCAAATTTACTTCCTTCCAGACTTCCCCTACTAGAACTGTTCCTGCCTGTATTTTAGTCTGGGAACCTTAAGTCTAAAAAGAGCAGTGTTTATTGCCCCACAGTGACATCTGCTTTGCTTGTGATGTATTTCACATTTATCAGTTACTGGATTACAAAGCTCAGCCATGAAATAAGGGCACTAATGTCCCATGAGACTTGCATCCCATTCTGCATTTTAGAGCAGGGATCCGAGCCTGTAACAACCAGGGAGTGTGTTTAGTCCAACCTGTCCTTGCTCTACATCTTGATCTTTCCTTCAGCTTGACTGTTTCCTGGAAAAAAGATCCAAGGGAAAAAGCTTTGTGCAGAGACAAGCCACACAATCCCCAGAGCAGCTTACAATGGGTTTCAGTTGCAATTTTGGCTAGTGTTTTAGGCACACAAACATGGTCTGCAAGACTACAGGAGCACAGGAGGCAGTAGGAATGGGCTTTGCTGGTTGATGGGCTACCCCAGCCAAGGGCAAAGCTACTATCGCCGTCCTATAATTGTTTTCTCTCCTAGCAGGATTTGGAAGAGGAACCAGTGTGGTTAACTACGAGGAGGAGTCCTGGCATGATTACTGTTTCAAATGCACCAAGTGTGCCCGTCCTCTGGCCAACAAGCGCTTTGTTTGCCATAACGGAAAAATTTACTGTGCTGAGTGTCCCAAACGACTGTAAGGAGCAGACAGCAACTGCTGTAAAATGGATTTTAAAGCCCTGCTTTCCAAAACAGTCCTGGTAAAAGAGCAGGTTTTTGCATGCTCAGAATTTTAACTTTTTCCATTTTAGTACAAAAGCTAAAGTAGTCTCAATATACTGGGTTTGACTTCTGAAGCTCCTGCAGTTTGAAAGCATGTAGCATTACAAAAACCTAATCTCATTTCCAAGTAACTTTTAGTGTAAAGGCTTGAAATGTGTTAGATTTAACATTAGAGACCCTCATACTACATCATCTGTGTGTGGCTTCAACTAAACCCAAGCTAGTTTTAAACTTGTCTGGTATACATTGAAGCTTGGCACTTAGCTGAAGTGGGTTTGACAAGGCTCACATCTCAAACAGAGAGGCAAAGATTGCACCCAGGGTCAAGAGATCCATTATTCTGCTTTCACAAGTACAGGCACATCACACCATTAATAGCAGCTCAATAACCAACTCCTTAGCTTACCCTACCACACCAAACAGCAGCACGTGTATGGAATGGCTTTGTCTTACATAGAACAATGTTTTGGCAGTATGACTCAGCTTTAATTAAGTTTCCATAAACTTGTTTTAGTCTTGATTTCTGCATGGTTTGCCCAAAGGTTTTGCTCAGCAGCTTTTTTTACATCAATTGTTTAAATGAAGCTGTCTATATACACTTATTAATCCATTAACAAGTAGTAAATCTTTCAACTACGACAAAATCCACATGCATTTAGAAGTGCCTTAAAAATAGCTCAGACAACAATGGCTCTCCTATCACATCAGTGTATGTTTTATGATCTAATAAAAGTGAGACTAGTGCCTGCTTGAGTCCTACGGTCTGGAAAACTTTTTTCATTTTGCCATCTTACATAATTGACACCTCTTATGGCTGAGCTACTGCAACCAAGCCTCAGACATTGATACTGGCAAAGCAGAGTCAGCTGTTCTGCCATAGCACCCTTACATGTCTGAGGACCACAGCAACAATTTCCGTAAACAAAGTAATTTTTTTAATATATAATTGACACTAGACCATCTGCCAAGAACAGCTTGTGTGAAAAAGCCCTTTGGAGAGCATATGTACAACCACTGTCCCTACACCCATCTACTACTATCCTTCAGCATCCTAAATGTTGGTTTAAGGGTTGATTTTGGTTTGTTTTCCCCTACAGTAGTGAAGTAACAGAAATACTCCTGAACTGGATGCTACTTCAGGCATTCCCTTTTGTTCACAAGCACCTACCAGAAACAAACAACCCTTGCAAGAAAACCAAAATGCATCTTGCTGTGTTCTTGATGGTCACTGCTCCACTGTGGCCACAGAGCACTGCTGGGCTCACCATTAGAACATAAAGGTGTTGATGATACAAGTAGAAGGGAAAGGCTTACAGTGAGAAGCAAGTTAAAGAATTCAACAGTTATGAACATGTCATCTGCATGTACAAACACAGCAAGATCTGAAGGCGCTAGTACATGTATCTTCCCAGTCACACAGGTGCAATCACCAAAGAAGCTACTAGTTTTGGGACTCTGGGGAGTGGGGCAGTTAGAGCAGTACCAGAGGGCATCTTGAGGCAGGTCAGCATGGCAAGGGGTTGGAGATTCCTAGTAAGGCAATGTTTAGCATTACAGAAATAAAGCGTTGTTCAACTGCAAAGTTTATTTAACAGTGTGCACATATTTACACAGAGCTGTAACAGACCATTCAACAAACAATATCAGCACAGAAAAAAAAAAATACTGGCATCTTTTTTTGTTAGAATGATTGTCTCTGCCAGAACCAAAGAGCTATCATACAAAAATACATTTTTCCTTTTACCTAAGGCACTGCTCTAAAGACTATACTAAAGTCTGCACTATGACAGACATACCTGGGCACACGACGTTTCTGTAATACATTAGTGCATATGCTGGAAAATGTTCTGATGTTTGCCAATAGATTAAAATATTAGTGATGGTACAACACTGCATTTTGAAACTGCCAATAGTTTCACATTAGAAAATAAGGAATTTTTCTTCTCCCTTCAAAATGGCAGACAGTAAGTTTTGCATTTTTAAATAGCACATGAACCAAGAAGTAACAGCATTGTTCTAGACAATGACAAAGGGAGTTCAGCTTTAACACACTCAATGAATCTTATTTCATCAAGTGCTATTTTAGGAATATGCAAAATCTGGCCAGTAGCTAAGTGGGGAGCCTCCAGTGGCACACTGCTGCACATAACACTGATATGAATAAAACTCAACAGATTCAGATTACTGTAAAGTCTGTAAAAGGGAAACAAGTGATATTTGAACAAGGAAATCTTATCTAGGAATTAGCTAAATGAATGGACAAGGAACATCAGCACAATAGTTTCCCTGAAATGTTTCAAGGTGCAAGTCAGAAGTTTGTCATCGCTCCTCCCTTGGTGATTTTTGGTTTGGTTTTTTTTTTTTTTTTTTCAAACTTGAAGGTGGATAAAGGTAAACAAGCAGTTTTTCAAAACAAGGCCTTCGGTACTTGATAAAACACTGGATTACTGAAGTGCAATCAGATTATCTCCAGGTCTCTAGTGTTCACAGTTCTGTCCAAAGAGCAAAGAGAAGAAAAGCTGTAACCACCGTAACTGTGCGTGTGTCACGTACGTCTATCGCCACTGTCAGAGCCTACATCCAAGGAGTGAGCACAGAACCACTCCCTCGCCTGCGGCCCAAGATCAGCACAGCAGCGTTTGTCTATATATGAATATTAGTTTTCAAAGTTATGTACATAATTCTTAAACCAGATTGCATTATCAAGTTCAAAACCAAAAGGCAACACTTTCTTCATTTTAAAGTTAATGGTTTTGATCAGAACCAGATGTGAGCAGCAGCATCACATTAAATGCATCTACTTCCACGGCCCAGTTAGCTGTGGCCTCAGGGAATGTCTCAGTAAGGCTGTGCCCGTGGGACTAAAATTCACAAGACGCAGAGTGACAGAGGAGACTCAGGAAACAGTTCAGTCTAGAAAAGTGCTACACTTTAATCAAAAAAAGTGCTACACATCACTTAAAGAAAACGTGGACACCAAGTCTTGTTTTTTCTGCTACGGTTCATTTCAACTGTTCACACAGTCATTATCTCACGGAGAGAGATCTCCTGCTGTGAGTGTGTTCGTTTGGGGTTTAGCTCCAACACCGGAGAAGTTTAATCTTACAGAAACTAGATAACTGAAGCCTCTGGCACACTGTGCTGTACTGCATCAGGGTCTGACTTCTCAAGTATGGGCGGCTTCAATGCAACCCTGCTTTTTTCAGAAAATTCAGAGTATTGTGTGTGCAGCTTTATTACTCCTCCCAGAATGTAACACAACCATCTGTGGAATTTAAGGTTGGTGCTATCCCCCTCAGTGAGGTGAAAGCCTATTCCACAGTAAGTAGAGAGGACAGCTAATACCTTGCAGAGCCTGAAGAGACCTTCTAAGACCATGCAGGCCAGCATCAAACAGTTACAGAACACGCTTAGGAGTGGAAAGGTCTTGTCGGTAGAGTTACATCAGACACCTTCTAAACTGTTAGTATCTTCAAAAGTAACATGTGCCATTTAAAACACCTTAGAAGAAGCCCAAGAATACAACAGATGGGCTTGAGTGCTACTAGGAGATACACGAGCTTCACAGGGGCTCAGCTGTGTCTTTGGAAGAGCCTTAATGTTGGGCCTTAGCTGCAGTCTAGAGCATGTCCCTAAAAAGGCATCAGCTGGTGACTCCTTTTGACAGAATGCACGATACAAGCACTACAGAAAGAGCTTTCCCTCCAGTCTATGCATTGGAAAAAGTGCCCTGAAAATATGAAGCTGAAGTTAAGGCAAGGAGAGTAAAATGCAAGGAAGGTAATTACCTAGCCAGAGGAAGAGAGATAGGGAAATCAGCTTGGATTACCTTATGAAGCATCTATAGGTTTGGTCAATGAATTCACTGCACCATCTTCCTCAAAAGCCAGCTTGGGACTAGAAGATATTGTAGCAGCATCATTCAAGTTTTGATTACAGTTACCAGCAGAGATGCTGTCTGAACTCAGTTTGGTTGACTTGGAATGTACTCCAACATCAATAAACTCCTCAAAAGTCCACGAACCAGCTTTTCCATTAAGGTTCTGAGTAAGTCCAACTGTATGATCAGCTTCATTAACATCCAACTTCACTGAGTCATCAATAACTATTTCTTTTGCAGGATGGCTAGGAAAAAAAAGAAAGTATACTTGTATTACAGTTTGTGTGTTTAACCTTTAGACTGATTACAGGCCAGCCAATTAGCAGTTGGCATACTTTACAAAGCACTGAATATCCTGGAGAGCATTCTCAAATGTGCTCCTACAGCTGCCACACAGGATCTCCCCTCCAAGAGCCAACTGGGAAGAAGGACTCACCAACACAGAGCCACTTTTACTGTACTAACAGCTGTAAGGTAAGGTCTAGCTCCAGAAATTTGATGTAAGAAAGCAAGAAGTTTAAAGCCCTGCACCATTAAACCCCTGTTTTAGTAGTGTGCATTTTTCCTTTTTTCTCTAGTTAAGACTTTTTCAACACAAACCTAAGCCTCAGAAAGCTAGCAATATTTAAAACAGATTCAAAATCTAAACCCAGAGAAGTTTAACTGATCACAGAGTGATGAATTTTCATTCATTCTTAAGAAAGAAATTAAAATGTCTTTATATTTCATCACTGGAGAAGTGAAATTAATTTATCATCACTTTAAAAAGTTCACAATGTCATTTCTAAAACATTAGCATTTAGACGAGAAAATGGAACAAGGATCAGAGAAGAGATTTTTCCAGTAGTATATGGAAATGTTTTATGTTCAAAAAGATAAAATTTCAAATACTAAAAAAAAATTCCCATTAATGGGAAGCTTTTATGTTGTATCTAGAGTTTCAGTGCAACTACTGGAACTGTTCTAGAGCTTTCTGTAGGTTACTGTTCCTTTTCAGTGCTGTTCCACTCCCTCTTGTTTAATATGTTTTGTTAATGAAAAGAACTACCAGCCATTTCAAGGAGAAAAG